GAACATTACAGAGCGACATAACTCCATAATTTATAATGACTTTTATTGTTAGACTATCCTCTCCTCTATGTGTACACCTCTCTATATGTATCACAAATATTAAATTTATCCAATCATAACTTTCAAAACTAATATCTAATTTGTTTTTGGTCCGATAGACTCATATGAAATTCTATAAAAAGAAATTACTCGGCCCAATTTGCCACTGACGGTCACGGCTAAATTTTAACAATAATCGAGAGAGAGAGAGTTTTATAATTTAATGTGGTGTAGGTACTATCATTGTGGAAATTCAAACTCTAATATGACCCAAAGCTAGCCCACTCGAAAACATATCCTTAACTAATGTTGATTTTGTCTATAACTAAATCAACATTAGTATGAGGAAGTCACTAGATAATGTAACAATGAAGTTCTTACTACAAGAATGTGTAAGCAAAGATGTAAAATTTCATTGTTATATCGAAATAGCGTCTTACACTTTCACGTGTTCGATTTGTAGCTCACTAGACAGATATTAGTTGGCTGTCACCCGCGGGACGCGAAGACAGGATGTGGAGAAAGCGGGAGTGTGGTATGAAGCGGCGCGGCGCTATGAGGTACCGCATCGCCTCGCATCGCAGAAACGATTTGTTCGGAAATTGCATTGTTCCGCTGACACCTGGAATCTGGATTCGGTTAGTACAACCTTTTAAAAAAAAAATTCGTTGGTGCGGCTTTCTTCGAGTAAATTGTAAGCTTCAAATCAATTTAACTGACACTTTTAGAGTGTAAATAGGTGTAAGAACAACTGGAACTGTATGACCCGTTACAGTGCAATGTAGGAAAGTAATAAGTACTCGTATTTGCGGAGAAGACGAAGATGTTTATTGTAACATCCGTTAAAAGTATTTGACTAAAATTCACAAATAAAGACTTTATGTTCCTTCAGTTGTAGGAGAAACACACCTCTGAGGTGAGTATTTAGTTATTAGTTTATAATGTTATATAAAAATTAAACATAATTTGTCATAAAATAAAAAAGTCTCACACATTTCACACAATAGGTCCAATCCCAAATTAGGCAGAACCTATACTATGGTAACCAGTCTACTGAAACATACTTATAAATACATACATATTTAAAATAAATTACGCCTAGACACAAAAAAAATGATGGTGATCAAAAGACAGTGATCACGGGTGGGAATCAAACCCACGACCTCTGTATTAGCAGTCAGGATCACTAACCACAGACAAACACGCCCGTGAACTTTAAAACTAAATCTTTTCAAGTTTTTTTTTGAGACAAGACATGGCTTGAGGTGGATCACTGTGCCGCTCAATTTCTTACGGGTCATGGTAACTTTAAGAGCAAGCTGTATTTATTTAATTTAGTAGAGTCACCATTGTGTCGATGCTCAACACCTAACTCTCACTATGAACAGTCTGCTAATCATAACCTCTGGGAATGTAGTCCATGGTATAATGAACGTAATATAATGCTGAATAGCTTGCAGGTGATATCTGGGGCGGTATACTATGGGGATCTTGTGTCAACTAGGGTGAATTTCAGTACGTTTAGTCGATTCTGCAATACATATTATAGAAATCAATATAGCTCACCTAGGACCCGTAATATTTTGTGACCGTGGTGCTTCCCTGTTTAAAAGGGTGTATGCCTGTTTTACTTCATTTTGTCTCCCGCTTTACTAAGGAGGGAAGTGGATTTACTGTATTTCCAACTCCTCCAATTTTCTTCTGATTAATTTCGTTGCGGGTTCCAAGACATTCTATTTTTACTAGCATTTTGGTATTCCTCATTAATATTTTTTTTAATGAAAAATATCATTTTGGGTGTCTCTGGCAAAACGTGTTAAAAATTTCATGGTGAGTGGTATAGGAATTTATACAACACTAGTAAAAGATGCTTGTGGTTAGCAAACGTCATTCTGAGCCACATCGTGTTTTTGATTCCCATACAGTACAAATGTGTCTTGTGTTAATTAATTTCTGTGTGTAATTAATCTATAATTTATTTATTAGCCGCCTATTTACCATTTACCATATTATAGGCTCTACCTACCTAGTGATCAGATAGCCGTTAATGAGGTGTGTCAAATTATTTTTAATTATTATCGTCATCATATTGATGAATGATGCGACAGAAAATCCCTTTCCTGAATAGACATGTGGCCCTGAGCTACATAAGACCTTTTTCAATCTTAATTAATTTCCCCAAAATCATAAGATACAGGTGCGAGGCTTCTTTAGTAAGACAATTTACAGTATGATTATTACTAACTACTGACTATTTTTTTATATTCAGAAAGGAGAAACTTAAAAAGTCATAGATAAATTTTTCTAAACATATTTAAACGTTAAGTTGGTTGGTGTACGCTTCTTAAACTCAAAAAGTTCTTCACCGATTGAGCTCAAATTTTGACACGATATGCAGCAAGCTTCAAAGACGATTTCTATCTATTTTTCCAGTCAGTTTTGTTCTTCATTATCTCATCAATACTACCCAAATGTGCCACAGCGAAGCGTGGCAGGGTACAGCTAAACACAAAGAAAAAAATACAGTGCTTAACAAGACATTAAATAAGTGTAGCAGATCTTATCAGATAGATATTTAACTTGGTCCCTACGCCACGCTACAATATGGTATAGAGGTATAATGTAGTGTAAGACACCCACACGCCAGGTGGAGTGACAATTTGCGCAAGATGGCTGGCAGGAGCTGGATGCGAGAAGCCCAAAATCAATCTAAGACGAGTGCAATGGGAGAGGCCTATGTCCAGCAGTGGACTGCGATAGGCTGATGATAGAGCTCCTTCACAATTTTAAACATAAATGAAAAGATAGGAGAAAAGTTCAGTAGCTATCTAAAATAAAACATTAAGACAATTTAACAAAAAGAAATGCTTAAAAATTATGCTTAAAATTAAATTACTAATTATATCATAACATTTATATTCCATTTATAAATTTTATATAAATATAACACATAAGGAATACTATTAATGAAATATACTTCTAAATGTTAAAAATAACTGAATAGATAATATAGTTTTTATATTTATCTCTGGTACTTTTTAGACGGATGTTACAAAATTTGGAAGTAATATTATAAAAATAGGCTGATAAAAACGGAAAAAAAGCGTTGGGCAAATTTAGTGCGACAAGCAGGTACATGTAGTCTAAAGAGGCGACGTCTGGTCATATCGTTATATTCCGGGGATGAAATAACTGTTTTGTGCACAAGTAATATACTTAGGTATATAAAAAGTTTACGGACGCTTAAAAGTTGACTTTAACACATAATTTTTTAAAAGAAGATTATACTTTGAACACTTCTGTCCTATCATTTTTAAAATTGGATCTACGCTAATATTATAAAGCTGAAGAGTTTGTTTGTATGGTTGTACGCGTTAGTCTCAGGATCTATTGGTTCTAATTGAAAAATTATTTTAGTATTAGAAAACCCATTTAGCGAAGAAGGCTATATCACATCGCGCTACGACCAATAGAAGCCAAGCATCATTGAAAAATAAAAAAAAGAAATCCTTTTAAGAGACGCAGAGGAAGTTGTGCAGGTCAGCTAGAGTAGGTAATTTAAGAACAAACATATTGCGTGTAAAGCCTATCCCATATTATTTTCAAGTCTACTAAATACTTTCTTTCCTAGAGTTGCCACAGAACTTGTCCTGTCAAGATATATATTATCATACATGTCGATAACTATTTCCTATTGAAATACTTTAAGCTACGCTACCCGTCCTGCACTCGCAATTATAAGATACTTCACTTTTTGGGTCCGGTTGCCTCCTGTACCAACTTACAGAATTTTATTTTAGATATCAGTATGATATCTATAATATTGTATATATGAGAATAACCTTTGATCGCGGGAGACAAATTCTTTGGCACAAATGGACCGACTCCACTAGAGTGATAACATGGCCTCACAATAAAAGTAGGTGTCAGGCCATTGTTTTATTTCTTTTCACCAAGTGAGTGAAATTACCAGAACCCAAACCTCGATTCTGAGGTCTCTCACATGTTCATTGGTTTATATTCTAAAACAGTCACTGCTTTGTTTTGTTGTTTTGTAAAACAATCGTAATACTATTTATGTTTATTTCTAATAACTTGACAGGTTATGCTTAAAGGGTATGCGTTAAAATGTCTGTGTGACTAAACTTTTTAAGCCGAAGAGCGGGGAAGAACTTTAACAACAGCAACTTCAATAACTTTAGTATAGTATTATTAGAATATATTGCAGTCAGAAATGTAAAAAATAAAAAGATTTCAGGCTAGGTGGGTGTTTGTCTTGCAATGTACCTCATTAGTTTTAATATAGAGTATTAATGACTGCGCCGAGCTCTCAACCTATAATTGCACATTCATATAAAATAAAGTTAACGTAACCTCCCACTGGGATCCAAGAAAATGCTATCACATGACTGTGCAATTACGTTACCAATGAGAGTTTTAGCAATTTACCTTGTTGTGATGTTATAGGTACATCTTATCTATATTAAATACTAGCAACCCGCCCCGGCTTTGCATGGGTAGCAGTGCATATATGTATATGTGGTATACATTTTAGTAGAATATATATTTAAGTAATAAACTTAAAATTAATAGTTGACTGCCTCTGTGATGCAGCGGTAGCTTATTCGACTGCTGTGCTGAGGTTTCGGGTTCGATTCCCAGCTCGGACGAAATGTTTATATGATCTGCAAATATTTGTTTCGGAGTTTTGATGTTTTCTGTGTATAATATATATGTATTTACCATAAAAAGTATATACGTATTCTACCAGTCAATCAAGCTTTCATAGCACAAGTTCTGCTTAGTTTCAAACTAGATAGCGTTGTGTGTCCGATGTCCGAAAATACAAGGTGGGCCAAAAGACGTCATCCGATATTGTTTGGCTCTCATTTTTTTTCTGAATAAAAAACTTCAATTCTGTTTTTTGATTATGTTTATTTGAACTTTTAGAATTTTATTGGTCAAGTCGAAAAGATGATATCGGCCAAATGGGCGCCGCCACAATTGATTGCTATACGGGCTCGTTTTATGGCATTTTTCATCACTTCGGCGAGAACTTCGGGCGACAGATTCTTGCACTCGTGTCTAATATTGTCCTTGAGGGCTTCCAGGGTCTCGGGCTTGTTCACGTAAACACGGGACTTCAAAAAACCCCACAAAAAAAAGTCTGGAACGGTTAAATCGGGCGATCTTGCGGGCCAGTGCAAATCGCCAAAACGAGAGATGAGGCGACCCGGGAACGCCGTCTTTAGAATATCGGTTGTGGCTCGCGCAGTGTGTGCCGTTGCTCCATCCTGTTGGAACCACATGTCCTCCAGTCCTAATTCGTTCAATTGCAGCAGAAAAAACTCTGTTAACATGGCCCTATAGCGCGCACCGTCCACTGTTGTCGTTTGACCAGCGGCGTCCTCGAAAAAAAATGGCCCGATGACTCCTCCAGCGTGAACAGCGCACCATGCAGTCACTTTGAGTGGGTGTAATGGCTCTTCGTGCATCACTCGTGGATTTTCGGTGCCCCAGAAGCGATAGTTTTGCTTGTTCACGTACCCGTTGAGGTGGAAATGAGCCTCATCGCTCATTATGATTTTGGTCGAAAAATCGTCCACTTCGTCCTCGAGATTGAGGATGGCTTGGGCGTAGGTTACACGCGTTTGGCGGTCGACAGGCAGCAGGTGATGCACGGACTGGACTTTGTACGGGTACATGCGCAGGTCTTTGACCAAAATTCGCCTTAGGGACGACCGGCTGATGGCTAATTGCGAGGCACGGCGTCTGGTCGATGTTTCTGGCGACAGCTCGACATCCTAGGCAACAGCGGCGATATTCTCGGCAGAACGGGCGCTCCGAGGCCGGCCACTCTTGGCAGCGTCTCGTGTGGTTCCATACTCTTCAAGGTTGGTGGCCAAACGGCGCAGTGTTTGCGCAGTCGGTGCCGGACGACCGGGGAATCGGCGACGGAATTCGCGCTGCGCCAACACCACAGACGAATTGTTACGCAAAAAAATAGACACGATTGTGCCGCGTTCTTGGTGAGTGTATCGCTCCATGGCTTGTTCACTTGTATTCTACTTCTGTCTAGTTTACAAATGTTAAAACAGATTTGACATTGGCCGCCATTTGCAAAAATAAGAGCATCTTCCAATAGGGTGATTTCTTTTGGCCCACCTGTTATAATATTACATTGTAGCTATCTTAAGCTTTCTTAATTTCGTCATACATTGTTTTCGTAATATATAACTCTATTAGTTTTTAATGACAGTTTTTAATTTCAATTCCATTTAAGTACTGGCCTCTGATAAATTTTATTTAAAATGTTTTACTCATTTTAAGTCAAATTTGTAAAAAACCTCAGCATTGAGATCGTTAAAAAAGGTACCAAAAGCTTCTTAATTTTATTCTTTTCGAGGATACCATTATTGTTTACTTTTTTTATGTGAATGCTTATTTACCACTATAATCGTATAGAACTGATAATATAGATAGATACATCAATAATATTCGCGTATACAACAATGTGCCTAAAGTTTGCAAGTATATATTTTGACGCAAAGTAGATACTTTTTACAACTTTACAAACAGGGTTTTTAAGTTTGGTATCATGAAAAATTCAGCATTGATGAATATTAAACAAAAGGAAAATATCAAATTTTCCTTTTAGCGAGACCAAACCGCTAAAAAATTACGAGAATCAGTTTTTTTTTTAAATTAACATGTAGATGAGCATCATTTCTGATGTCCCTACCGTCCTTGCTAGCAAAAGGTTATATTGTACCTAAATATATCTAAAACGTGCAAAACGTACTACTGTGGCTGAGTGTAGACTGTTTTAGTAATCATGATTTAATGAGTGAGAATCCAAGCCAAAAATAGAAACATTGTATAGTTTTTATTAAAGTGAACTTTTATTAAAGTGAAGGATTTATATCTGAAATATATAATTAATAATATTTCAGATATAAATCCTTAAAAAAAGTTGAACTGATTTCAAACAATACTAACAAAAAGCACTAAAAACTTAGCAGCAATAGCGGTTGATTTGCTGTCATTTTTTTAAGAGTTTCGTTGTCTGTCTCCGAAACTCATAATCAGATGTATATGAAATTTAAATGTGACCATTTCGGAATAAACCCCTTTCGAACACAAAGAGAATTTTAATAATCTGTCTATACTCCTATATAACGGAGTTATGCCCGAACATCGAAAATCGAATTGATAACCTCCTTCTTTTCGAAGTCGGTTAAAATATTTAAAATAGGTATTTTGTATAGTTTTTAACCAACTTAAAAAAGAAGGTATCTATCGTAAACTCACAAAGTGCCTACGCTTTGTTACCTTCTGTCACATTACTACCCATACTATCTTTAGTACTGTATGTTCTGCTCAGTCAGTTAATGATGTTTTTTAGTTTTGTATATTTATCTACAAATTCCGATTAAAATGGTGAGAAATTGCGGACCCATAAGCATTCTATAGTCATTGCAGTTACACATATACTAGACCTACATTAAAGTAATATTAGATTTGATTGTAATTATGAAATTATTGTATTAACAGAAAATGAATATTTATTTCGCACATCTGTTTCTCCCTTTCCTCTTTTAATGAATAGGTGAATTCCGTTTGTCCTGGGGCTGTTATAGTTAAGAAATCAATTTAGTTTGATAGGTAAGTTTAGTTATAGTTGAGACTGTAATGTGATACAGATACACAGCAAAAGATAAAACGAGGAAACTTAGGTGCAGAGCGTGGTGTTTACAATTACCTGCTCTGCACCTTCTAATGTTTGTGAAGGGAGATTTTCCCTTGTGTATCTACAAAAAAGGAAATGAAATGATGAAATGATATTTATTTCTGCAAGTAAATCTTTTCAGATATTTTTACAAGTCGGACTTTACAGCTAGAAGGTGCCAGCATTTCCTAAGACTAAGAAGACGGGAAGAAACGCCGAAACAAAAAACAGAGGTATCTTTTTTTTAATGCCGTGTACAATGTTAAAGAGAACTATGTGAGATCAATACAGGGTCTAGGTTGGCCTTTTTAAAACGGACCATAGTATTGAGTCAGCACGTCCATACAGACATTGTGTAGCCTAATCGTAATAGTCAGGTTCAACAACCCGGAACACGACACCACCGCCTGCAGGACACTTGAGTATGCCGTGGAAACACTCAAAATCACCAGAAAGTTACTAAACATGAACTAACATTACAAGTCTACACTATACTAACATTTACATACCTACACAAAAAAAGAAAAACTATACAATTCAATTTGAAATAAAGAAATTGAAAACGAATTACAACAAAAAAATAAATGTTCATCACTTTCAAATGTGGGAGTGAGCAGCATCAATCCCATACAAATTTGTCATCAAAATAATCTGTAACCGTGTAGTAAGCATTTTCACATAGTTTTTGTTTAACTTGCTTGTTGTAGAATCGCACACCCTCACATCGAAAAGAGTTGCTTACTTTTTGTATTCTAGTCGTTGGCAACACGAGTTTATCTTTATTTCTAGGGTTTATATTATAAATGTCGGTAAACTTTGTGAATAAATGAATACTTTTTCTAATACTAAATTTTCAAATATATAATGAGATGCGTCATAATACAAATTTCTTTAAACTTATCCCTCAGTGACTGCCTATAACTGAGATTATAAATATCGCGAATAGCTCTCTTTTGCAACACAAAGATACTCTTAATGTCAGCAGCATTTTCCCACAACAAAATACCGTATGACATTACACTTTAGAAATAGCTAAAATACACTAGTCTAGCTGTTTCTACATCGGTTAATGGACGAATTTTATATACCGCGGATGCTGCAGAGCTGAATCTATTCGACAATCCATCAATGTGTGGGCCAAACTGCAATTTAGTTATACCCAAAAACTTAGTGGTGTCCACAAGATCCAAATCCTTTCCATTTATCAGAACACTGGTTTTTATCTGCTTAACATTAGGTGTAAAAAACCGGTCAGGTACGTACCTACCCAGATTTTACGTAGTTTTTCGCGAAAATTTGTAAGTACCAAAATTTATCTTAATTTTCAACTTTTTTTTATTTTTTGAATTTATTTCTTTATTTGTGCTGTAAGACGTTTTTTTTGCCAAACTTCTTGATTCTAAGTCAACGGAAACTACCGTGTAGGTTTTCAACCTAAAACCTACTGGGTACTTCCGGTTGACCTAGAATTGTCAATTTTGGTTAAAAGCAAGGTCTTACAGCACAAGCAAAGATAAAATTCTGAAAAAAGTTGAAAATTAAGGTAAAGGTACTTACAAGTTTTCGCGAAAATCGAAATTTGCCCATATCTTTTTATCATGTTGACTCAAGACCTTGATTTTTATATACCTAATAGGGACCATAGACCTCAGTATCTGGTATAAATTTCAATTTGCTAGGTCTACCCGTTCCTGAGAAAATCGGTGGGGACACACGGACAGACGGAAAGGCGGACAAGAAAGTGATCTTATAAGGGTTCCTTTTTTACCTTTTGAGGTACGGAACTCTAAAAATCTAATACATTTAATTTTTTTCTCGTTTAAAAGTAAGCTATTAACGTTGAACCAGTTCACGACTTTGGAGAGAGTGTTTTTCACAACGTCAGTAACTGACTGCTGTCGTTTCAGATTAAATAAAAGTGAAGTGTCGTCCGCAAATAGCAAAATCTCTTGATTATCTTTTTTCAGATTAGGTAGGTCATTTATATAAACGAGAAACAAAAATGGGCCAATAATTGAGCCATGCGGAACCCCCATAGGACTCCAGACGCCGGCAATGCGTTCCTGGAGCCCTCCCCCAGATTGCTGAGGTTGGCCGCCGGATGGTTTTGTGGGTGATTGGATCTCCAGGAGTCCCATACACAACTTCCGTTTCCCCAACGGAGGGTATACACTGCCAAAACAATCCACTTGTAAGTACAGCTAGTGCAACCAGGTCGAGACATCGTATTGTTTGTTTTCACGTCTAAGATATGTAATAAACTTTTAATCGCCTAATACATTACTGAATACATTACTGTATAATTAAATATAGTTTGAGAAAAGCTGCCTTAGTATTGAAATGTCGATTGTTATCAGTTGCTCCGTAATTTATATCTTCGGAAAATACTTATTTAGGTATGTGAAGGCGCCATAACAAAACCACCGCTGATTTGACATTTAGTTTGCCTAAGTCTCAGGTAATCAGTCGTGCTAACAGTTAAGTAAATACATATTTCGGCATTCTTTCAATAAGTACTTATATATCGTATATTCGTACATATAGAATGGGAGATAAGCCAAATATGTAGCTTTTGAAGCGAAATTAAAACTGTTCCAGAGTTTCGTCTGTTTCCGCGAAAATAAACAATATTTCAATTGCAACGTTTTGTGTCAAAGCAATGCTAAGTAGTCATAATATTGTGAGGAGCCGAAACGTCGTATTTTGTTTGAGATTTCCAGTAAATGTGGATATTAATACAAAAGAGTGTGTTTTGTTTTATACTGGTTTATTATCATCGTCTACAGCCTTTACTAGTCCACTGCTGGACATAGGCCTCTCTTTAGAAAGGTTGTAATACTGGTTGTTAATGCAAATATATGCATAGATTTCTTATTGCAGAAGATTTATCTGATAACAATGCTGCTTATGTTTTTAGGTTATGTTACACATTCTAATAAATTAAAGAAATTTTGTATTATTTTTAGTTTTTTTTCTCCTTTTAACTTATGTAATCGTTGAATCAATTGGCCCATCGTCTTTTGCTTTTGAGTTCTGGCCTGTCAAAATATGGGACATACGACTAGCACTTTACCTTCCAAATGCAATCCAGGTTTTCAGGTCGTAGATAAAACGGGCTGAGGGACTAAGTTTCAACTGTAGAAAAGCACAAGAATAATAATTTTAAAGTCAGTTTTGCATCATTTTAGCCAATTAAACAGAGAACAAATCAATGAGTATTAGATTTAGGCTTGCTCGCAGTTTATAGAGGCATTTGCCATACAATAATGAAATGTATGTATTTGGAAATTTATAAGTATATTTATCAGCAGTCTAATC